ATCTAATATTTGACATCACGGCCAACGCCCGATTCAATACCAGACATACGAAAAACTTGGACGGTATTGATAATGAGCCTGATAATGTCCGGATGCAGAGCGATATTAAAAAGTTGGATGTGGACAGTTCTGATGACAGCGCGTGGAAAGCCATTTATTATAATGGCATAACACCCTTACCAGTTTAAAAAGGAAAGTAAATACTACACTAAGCTCTTATCTACAGGAGAATTACCTAAACCAAAAAATAGTTATATGCATTCAACCGCAGGTATAGTGGTGTCAATCTACGTATTAACCCCTCACCTCTTCTATTGTCTTACAATTTGGTGAGCCAAAACAGTCTCAACCTGAATTGATTACTAAATAAAAAATTGGAGCATGACATAACCTTTACGCTGACATGCTCGATACAAAAAGCCGAAGCAAGCGAATAAATTGTATTTGTTTTATTCCTTTACTATTTCTCTCACATCGAACCAGTATCACCACCATCCCGGCAACTCTCAGAGAAAAGAATAATGTAAGCAATCAAAAACTTTGTTATATAGAAAATTTTATGTTCTGACGGACAGTTTACACAAGGATGTTTCGTAACAGAAGTTGTGTACATTTATTGGTATAGAATACTAGTCTATCAAATACAGTTTTGTGAGGTTTGTATCAATTATCAATGTTAATTGGCAGAGGCCACATTACTTGAAGCTAACGATAAACAATTAGTGCCGGTTGTGAAAATTATATACGCTTTCATTCATTATAGAACAAAATAACCGTTAATTGCTTTTCAAAGATCACGTAATTAAATGAACTTCAACTTTCGCGATTCACTTGTTATCACTTTTAAACCCATTATTTCGCATTTAGTACTCCAATCATTCACAGCTTGCATTATTTGATACTAATACCCTACCCAAACTCACGTTATAATGTTGAAGCTACTGAATTGCCGATAAAACCGACGTGCGCTTTATATATTCACGGGAGACATATTCTTCTCTGAGAAACAAAATTTGAGATCGCCCGTATGTAGTCCTGCTATTCTATATATAACGCTGCCACCATACAATATGCAATCAATTCAACTTCATCTATTTACCACGTACAGTATATACCTGCTCTCGAAAACTATGTAAAGTCGTTTCAAGAAAGTTGAACAGTATCTAAATGTGTAATGAGTAATAGTAGCAATTATTATTAGATGCACCAATCAAAAAAATTCAAAAATTAGTCATGCAACAAGAACGAAAGGCAACTGTAATTAGTCTATAATCATGAGAGGCGAAGCCTCTTACTATTCATAACCCTAATTACAAATGGGTTGTTGAATAGAACAGAACATATTTCGTGTAAGTGAGGCAGACAAATTTATTTAACGTTATTTGAATTTAGCTGGTGTAAACGCATTTTATTGCCAATAGAACATCCACATGTAAACTTTATGTATAGGGGTGAAGAAATTAGTCGCCGGTCGCTGTACAGTGAAGAAGCATGAAATAAAGCGACGCGACAAAATTGGAGATTAGTGTACCAGTGAAAATCAATGTAGTATTTGCGGAAGTCCGTTTTACTAACAGAGATCAATTTTCCACAATAACTAATTTACTTGTTTATTATATAGTTTTGAGCGAACCAACGCTTTAGATTTCTTTGTGTTGCAAATAATATTTGTTTACCAAAAATTTTCTTATATATAAGCACAGTCTTTCCGACAAGCATTTTTGCGGCCACAATTACTATAATATGTTTACAGTTTTAGCATCGATCATTGCCAAAGGGAAAGGTCAACATAATAAAAAGGAAAGACGCAAGTTGATATTATTGGTTGACAGATAAAATATGTGCGTTCAATCTCTATCATATTAATTATGTTAATTTATCGAACTGTCATAAATCGACAGTGAATCGTACATTAAATATAAACAAAAGATGCATGGCGTATATTACTTACCGTAATGAAAAACGACTCGACTGACTCCTACATTTAGTAGCACATTTATTATCTGACCTGTCTTGTTTTTTTAAGAAAACCTTGTGTGGTGGGGATGGGAACTACAAATTTTTGGTTTCGATCATGTGATGTCTAATACGCCAGTCAGGGGTGACACAATTTGGAACAGATACAGAAATGAGCGCTGCGATGTACACGTATTTAGTAGATATGATTGCAATTAAATGTTAGGCTACTTGGAATACAATAAAATTGCTTGTTTATTGCTTTGATTTTCGTTCTTAGTAAGAAACTTTGGCGGGAAACTATTAGTTGCACAAGAGAGGATTACGCATACGTAACAGCAAATTTTAATTGTTTGAAACAATTGTTTACTGAGCATCTCTAAACAGACGGTCGCTTACGGTAAACACATTCAACTAAATTAGTATCGATTCTCAAGCCAATAAATGATATTTTTATTAAAAAGGCATATTTTCCAATTTCTTTGTTCGTTTACGACACCTGCGCCCGCCATGCGTGGCGTCATCAACTTAATTAGTGAAACCTCATTATAGAAAACGTCAAATTCGACTCGCAGGCGACGATCTAACATATCTGCTTTGGATTGGCCATCATTGAAGGAGGTCTAGGTGCACCAAAGGGCGGCAAATGAAATATTGAGCAATCTTGTCGAAGTCAACAGTAAAGCAACATTCAGTATATGAAAATTGTACGCGCAAAGTTGGCTTATAGAGATCACGAGTTTTCACTGTGTTGCTTTTGCACCCAAGTAAAATTTGAGCTTCGCAACATTCCGTAAACGCACAGATAAATGCAACACTAAATGCTTCACACGATTTCGATATGGCTTTCCGTAAACACGGCTTTGACCCAGCAGTTATACTGTAACAATACAACCCGAGGCCACGACTTCTTCTACAACTCTGGATCAATCCCGTAAACGGCAAATGTGGAGAATAGCTCCAGCAGAAAAGAGCAGAAATTAAGAATGGGCAGAAAAAAGCGCATCGTATCGCATGACTTCCTATGCTGGAAAAACTATTGAAGAATATCTATTATATATCTTCAGATGCTAAAAATTGGTCGTTGATAATACAACACATTGGGACTTCCGCTATCAAATAGTGCAGGGCCAGTATCATCTTTCAAGATATTAGCGGCCCTGTTATCTCCATATGTACGAATGTATCGACTACCTGATTCGGGGAGAGTACAAGTGATTACTACAATCGAATAATGTGTCGTTAGAATATTTAGGAGGAATAGTGTTGTATGTCAATTTAGAATTTATGTCAATCTAGAATCAACATATGTCAATTCTGAATGGACATATGTTGA